CACATTAAGTAATCAGTTCGTGTTTATTTCCTCTAATTTAATTTTAAAATGACGGATGAAAATAGTGTATATCTTAGAGTAATAAACAAAAATTTAGGTATTTTCTTATATATTATAGTGTCAATCGGTTTTTTTTAGTTATTATTCATAATTCTACATATCATTTTAGTAAGAAATGTATCATCATCTAATTAAAAGCAGACGGATTCTGTTGTATATGTGACATACAGTGTATATATATCATATAATATATATGGTTATATATATATACACTATTGTATATGTCAAATATACAACAGAATCGGTTATATAATCCGTGATATACATATACTATATGTGTGTACATTTTTTATTTATGTATGTATATATTGTATGTGTATGTGACATATACAACAGTATATTAAATGTCCTCACGTATTCCGTACGTCTATGTTTATTTACGCGTTTTATATACTAAATAAATAAAGACTCAAATGAATCGTTTCATATATGGAAAAAATTTGTCTCTTCTTAAAATAATATATCTTCAAACATAAAATTATTTTGCATTGCATAACCTTTTTTATGTTTAATTTTTATTTTCAGATTACCCAGAACAAGCTAATATCATGGTTACACCCTATGTTTCAATGCATCCTTTAATTTCTGATCAACTACGATTACCTCCACATGGTGGGAAAACAAGAAAACGTAAAGCAAACTGTTATAACTGGAAACAGTCAAAAAGAAAGCGACTTAGACAATCAGGAAAGAAATATATAAATGTTAGAGGCAAAGTTATTCAACCAAGAAGTATTAAAAATAAAAAAGATTGTAAAAATTGTTGCAAGTTTAAGTGTTTTGAGAAGATTTCAGAAGACGAGAGAAAAATATTATTTAATGGACTGTGGGGAATGTCTCAGATTGAAAAGCAACACTTTTTTAGTAAAACTACTGAACGATTAGATAAAAAAAGATCTCGAACCAATAAAGTAAGCAATTCAAGGAGAAAATATACTTATTTTTACAATTTCTTTGTTAATAATATCAAGCATCGTGTATATAAGGAGTTTTATTAGTCTACATTAGACATCAGCAGCAGGCAAATATCATACTATCATGAAAATAAACTTGAAACTGTTGTTCCTGCCCCAACAAAATGGGGGAAACATTGTAAAAAAAAAGTTCTTGAAATGACTAAATAGAGTATAGAAAACCATATCAACTTGTTTCCACGAGTTGAGTCACATTATTGTCGAAGCATTTCCTGCAAACAATACTTTGATGGGTCATTAAATTTGAAGAATATTTATAATTTGTATTTAACATATTGCACTCAATATGAAGTTTCACGAGCAAAGGCATGCATGTACTGCAATGTTTTTAATACAAAATTTAATATTGAATTTCAAAAGCCGAAAAAGGATCTGTGTGATACATGCTATAAATTTCAAATTATTGAATATGCAAATGAAGAGCAAATCCAAAAGTATAACAAGCATATTGCATCAAAGAATGAAACAAAAATTAAGAGAGATATGGATCGAAAGTTGAACTCCCCTTCCACAACCATAGTTTGTATTGATCTACAAAATGTCTTGAGCTTGCCAAAAAGTAATGTGGGAAACTTCTTTTATAAAAATGATAATATAATGACATTGCCAGTGCTGTGGTATGTATGCTAAATAAAGTTTACAAGGATCTTTCTAATATTAATAAATTTATACTTTGGTTTGATTCTTACGTTCCACAGAATAGAAACAGTCATATGTCAGCTGCATTGCGTGAGTTTCTTATTGATCATCCAAATATTGAAATCATTGAGCAAAAGTATTGTGAGCCAGGGCGCAGCTCTATTCAGGAATGTGATAATATACATAGTTAGATTGAGAAATCATTACATTCAGCAGAAATATTTAGTCCTCTTGGGTTGGTGGAAGCAATGTTGAATGTTAACCAACGTAAACCATTTTTTGTATACCAAATGCAAAAAAGCGATATTAAAAATTTTTCAAAAATTGCTAGTCTTCTGAACTACAAAAATGTTCCATACTTTAATGCTAAAACGCTTGTATATAGGTTTAATGCTCCTGGTCATGTGTATTTCAAGACTCGTTTTACAGATATTTATAAAGAGGCACGGCTGTCTAAGCCAAAAAACACACGATCATCAGGAAGTAATCTTGAAGAATCATCAATTCCATTGGCATCTTGTTTTTGACAAAATATTGAAATTTCTAGTGAGAAGATAAAAGACATTGTTTCTATGTATCCTTACATGCCAGCTGTAGATGTTTGTTTCTATAAAACATTATTTCAGTAGTTGTTTTTTCAACTCTTTATCCGGATATACTTTATTTGTGTTATGTACTATTCAGTTTTATCTTGTATAAGGTTCATTTAAACTGTTCTTAACTTGTTATTTGTATTAAAGACATTTATTTTTTATTTTCAATAAAGCTTTTTAGATAAAAGTAATTTTATTATAAATAATATAGCTTTGGTTAAAATCAGTTTGTTAAAATTGAAGCTGCCCATCCTACCAGAAGCAATATATCTAGAAAACTTATTAAATGACCATATCCATTTAAATTTGCCAACTAAGTGTTTTAGGGTCTATATTTGCTTTTAAATCCCTAAATTAAAAGTAATTTCTTGTAATCCATCAACTCCTCGCAAAACGTTCAAGTTGTATTTACTAAAAAATGGAGGTAGCACAAAATAATATTAACACGAAATTAAAATTTAAAAGTTATTTTGTTCTATCTCCAAACAGGGTGGGGCCATAATAGCGATTTGAGCAAAAAAAAAATTTTCACAACAAATAATTATAATGAGCATATAGTCAAGTATTGAAAAACGTTTGTATTATTAAAAAATGTATTGCCACTTCTGCTGGATTGCAGTGTAAAACTTCAACTTGATTTATCTCAGTTTAAACAAATGAAGAGTTAGAACAAAATAATTCTAACCTGACGATATATATATATATATATATATATATATATATATATATATATATATATATATATATATATATATATATATATACATACATAGGTACTTTAGTATAAATTTCAAAATTGAACAATTCCTTTGAAAGTTATGATGGTTTAAGTACCATTTTTTCGGTATATGGATTTGTTGAAAAAACTGTGGTCACAATTAAGTTTTTTAACTAGTCATAACTTTGTTAATTCTTATCGAAATATAAATATCTAGAAATCAAAAGATAGGTGTAAGAGTGGGCTACAAACTTATATTGACCACTAATTACAGGGCGTATCCAGGGGGTAGAGGGGGCAACAAACCACCACCATTTTTAAGACTTTAAATTTTTTTAAAGACATAAATAATTCAAATATACAAAAACGTTGTTATAAATTTACATTAAACCACCAAAAGTATATGAAAAGCGTATTTTAACATTTTTTTATAAAATTTTTATTTATTCTAAATCAAATATATAAAATGTTAAATTAACCCCTCTGTCTCTCACGACCATTTCAGGCGAATGAAAATTAAATACCAAAAGACAAAAAATAGACACCCTGCAACAATGAAATTTGGCAGGTGCATAGATAAATAAAAAACTTAAAAAAAAAAAGAAAAGTATAGGAAAAAAGAGCATATTTTCAACATTAATTTCATGTCCAAAATACAACAAAGTTTTAGACATCAAAAAACTCAATAATAAAGCTATCTAGTAAAATAATAAATTTAACAGTAATAAAGTTTAACTATTCTAGTTCCTAAAGATAATCTATGTTGATATCAAATTCTAAAAAGTTTTCCTTCTAAACATATCTTCACTATGCTAACTAAAAAAAAAATCTTAAAAACGTGGTACAGTTTTTTAGCACAAAATTTGGTGCGGATTTCCACGTACCTAATATACATACTTTTTAAAAACACTTTAACGGAAAGGCAGGTTAGTTGATACGCAAGTCAAGTTGGTGCTCACAATGGCTACTAAATCTTTTTTACAGGTGAAGTGTTGCCACCTATTGTTTATTAATGTAACAGGAACTCGCTAATTTTAACTTCAAGAGGTAGAAAGTCAAAGTATTTATAAAATTTAAAAAAAAATGTTTGCGTTATCACAAGTGAAATTTCCAGATAAGGTGTCTTTTCTTTTTATTATTTTTAGAGTATTGAATAGTTCCCCACCCCCATGTTGGAGTACATATTTATTACTTTCACTTCAGGTTAGTTTTATTCTTTGGAAATAAGTTAAAATGCTTGAAGAGGGAAAGGTAAAACAAAATGGTCGTAATAGGGTTAGTTGATACAAATCATGTTAGGTTAGTTAATACATCACAGTTGTTTTAAGGAGGATATATTGCTTCTTGCTTTTTTTTCAAATTATTTACTCAAACGCTGAAACTTTACTTTAATTTACTGAAGCTTATATAACTTTTGAAATTTTACAGATAATTTTGTTCTGTAAAAAGAATAGAAACATCAATAAATTGTTTTATCTTTTAACATTCCATAAAGTATCAAAAATTTCTCTGATTATTGAATAAACGCGAAGAAATAACGAACATAGTTACTTTTTAGCAAAAACCCAAACAGCCTCCCGCTAGCGGCATAATGCTGCTCCAGTTCCGCTTGCGACTACGGCGTGATGACGGCTGTCGATCACGGCCTGCATTGAAACAGCCATTGGGCCAGCATTGGCCCGCAATCGTTCGCCAGCACTGGCCCGGGATCATTTGCCAGCACTGGCCCGCGATCGCTTACCAGCACTGGCCCATTATCTATTACCAGTATTAATCCGTGATCATTTTCCAACATTTGTTCGTGGTCGCGCGTCATTACTAAAACGTTACTTTTTACTAATACATTAGGACGTTATTATTAGCTGTTTCTGTACAAATGTATTATCCCACATGAATCAAACAAATAAGTACTTTTCGAAATTTATTCCAACTTATATAAAAAAAAAAAAGTATTTTCGAAATTTATTCCCAACCAAAAGTGAGTTAAAAAAGAATGAAATAAAAAATAAAAAAATATTATTAAAAGTTCAAATTGTTATTTATGCAAATAACTTTTTATACAAAGAACGTTCCTCTCGAGCTTTTCGTCCGCCATTTCGATCCCCGAAAAGCAAAAAATATCTCTTCAGTTAATGTTTAAACTCTTCTCCTGATGTTTCTGAGGTTAAAGCTTTTATTTTCACAGCATTTAAATAACAAAAAGTTAAATAATGTGTGAAAAATAGTAAACAATTAAACTAAAATGTATGATTAAAATGTACATTACACTCACATATATAAACTTTAGGATAATTAAAAAACATATTTTTTTAAAAATTCTGCACCTCAACCCTATTTAATAAAATAACACTAGATATAAAATTTAAAACAATATTTAAACATAAGACAAGTTCATATTATTATCGAAAAAAAAAATTGTTATAAAAATAACTCCAAGAGAAAATTGCAAGATTACTATTAAGCAATCCAATGAAGTGTGTTTTTGCTCACATTCGCAAAAAACCATCACAGATAAACATCCAATGGATCTCACTTAAGACCCCAAAAACTAAAATAACAAAAAATTAACAATAATGAAACAGTTAAATTCAGTTTACTAATGCTTACTATATGCTTTAATTTTAGCATTAGATGCAACTGATGATGTAATACTGATTTAGGGAGCTATGAGAGCTTTAATTCATCCAGCAACTGATAAGCACGCAAATAAGTTGATTTCACCTCAATAGGCAACAACAAAACATTTTCATTTTTCTTCAATCAAAGCACATTTTTTAGAATTAAAGCGCTAAAAATAAATTAAAAATTGTCACCTTATAAAGCACTCTTTTAAATAAATTCTTCATTAATAAAAAAAAAACTTTCTAGTCAATAAAATACAATACCATAGAAGTGGATTGGTCTCCATCCCATCAGTTGTCTAAGTCATTGCTTTCGAAAAAAAGCAATGACTTAGACAAATGTCCATCAATTTAACTTCATGCATATTTGTGTCGTATTTACATAAACTAACTAAAAGATTGTTTCAGAACATATTGGAATTCAGTTACAAAAATAAAAAAGAATATTCAAATAAAAAAAGTATAAAAATACATCCTTTTCTCAAACTTCAGAAGCAGAGCCTTGTTATGAAAAGTTATTTAATTTTAAATGATCTGAAGAAGTCAAATTTTCAATACATAAAAATGTTAAAGGAGGAATAGCACGAGCTGGAGCAAATGTCTTTTTTTATTATTGACGACCTTCTTTTTTTTTAGTAACTGTGGAGTGTCAGTTTCTGAACTTAAATATACAAAATTGCGATAATATACATCGCTATAAAATACTGAAAATGAACCAACATCATGATATGATGATCACCATCTAAATTACATATGTTCATCATTACCACGTATATCATATCATCATCACAATCATCATGAAAATCACCTGGTAGGACAAAGACTTTTCTGAAATCTGTTTACTGCTAAATTTATCAGGTCTTACTGTTGTTGATTCAAAAAAAGTCTGAATAAACGTTTGTGATTGGTAATTTTTCGCTTGTTTAGTCATATGTAACTAAAAAAATCAAAATAGTAAAAAAATGTTAGAAAAATACTTCAAAATAAAAAACAAACAAAAAAATTATATACTGTAGAAAAAATATATATTTGTAAAAATATACATAAAACAACTAACCAGAGTTAAAATATGGTTAGTTGTTAGATTATAATCAATCTAATCAATCATATAATCTTTACATTTTTTAATGGTAAATCTTAAAGGACCATCCACAAATACCATTTGTTATCTAACTAATAAAAAATTAAAAAAGAAAAAAGAAACAAGAAAAGAAAAAGGAAAAAAAAAAAAAAAAACTAAGTTAAAAGAAAAAATACATTCGAAAATGAAAAGTAATTAAAAAAGAATTGAAATAAAATATAAATTGCTCCATTTTGGGAAAAAAAAAGAATTAAATTTTATTATGTTGGAGACACGATAATATCGTGAATAAATTTTATTATTTTGGAGACACAATAATATCGATAATATCTTTGGCAAAGAGTCTTTGGTTTGTATAAATGTCTTTGAAAGACTTTGGCAAAGTAAAATAACCGAACATTTACACAAACATTTATAAAAACCAAAATATAATAACATTTAGTTGTAATAACAAAATATATCTTGTAAACGTTTAGTTTTGCTTTTATAGTACCATCTTGGATAACGAAAAAAATATTTAAATAATGGCAGTTATTGCAAAAACGACATTTGGCCAAAACTCAGTGCTGGCCCGAAATCAAATGCCGTCGTAATGGCTTACGACTATTCGCTAGAGTTCTGGCATTTCGTCGCACGCCGCTGCGACTTCTTGCAATGATTTACCGTACATAAAAAGTTGCTTGAATCGCTTGCCAGACTCACGCCAGTTATGGCCCATTACTAATATAATCGCAACGGCGTGCAATGATTCGCCAGAGTACTCGCCCAGAGTTGTGTGCTGTCTGGGAATAATCAAAAATATACATTTCTGTTGTTTAATACATTATATAAACATTGTTAGACCATTTTTAAATCAAAAAATTTTACTTTAAACTAATGTGAATCGATAGAGAGATTAAAAAAGTCAGACAACAAAATCGCCAAATATTACCAAAAACGATTAAAAAAAAAAAAAATTTACATTGTGTGCCGTGACATTACACCTGTGACATTTATCAACCAACCCTTCTTATTAACTAACTAAATTATCTTAAGCAATTAATATCCATTACTAAATACTTTAAAGATCTAAAGTAATTACTAAACTTTAATAACTTTATGTATAAAACTTATTCAAAATTCCATCATTAGGGTAACAGGGGGCATTGAGTCCCATGTTTTCAAGTACTCTTCTATTTTCTTTTTGAAATAAGTAAATAAAAATTAAATTCAAATGGGAAATATTTTTTAATTATAGACAACACATATTCCTATTTGTACAAAAGCTTTATCCAGCAAAACTTAAAGTCATATAGTGAAAAAAAAGCTAAAAGGGTACAACTAACGTGGTCTCAAATTAAAAAAAAAAAATTTTACATAGTGGACAATAATCTCCACTATGTAAAACATATATTTTTACATCATTTTTATACACTTCTCACAGATCCAGTCATTGGCTTGACTATCAGCTCCGTCTGGAACTTCTGTGCAATTTAACATGGTACCAAACATCACATAAGTCATAACACACCCATTCTTATCTTTGACCTCTTTGAATATACACTTTAGACACAGTGTTGTTACCTTCATCACCGTCCCTATCATCTCGGGCTGGAAGATATCATCTTTTAGTTATGGTCTTTTTTTTTGAAGTATTTTTTTTTTTTTACTTCTTCTCTCAGCCGCTTCAAACATTCATCAACTGTTAGGCTTTCTCCGTATCAAAACCTGATGGTTTTAAAAAACTAACCACCACAGAAGTTTCTTTAAGAAAAAAATCTTCATTAAATGATTTTTCTGAAAATGAAGAAGACAATGGCTTTTGTGGTTTTTTTGCAGGTGCTGAAGATAAAGGTGATGATTCTGTTGATGATGCTGCAGATGACAATGATTGTTGATTGCAATACACGTAGTAGTGTGGCTGAGGCAAAAGCATTGCGAGCATTAGTACTGGAAAGTACTTTTAACAGTGCTTGGATTTCTGGTTAGCAGGCATCTGCTTAAATATGACAGAACTGTAGGCATCTATCATTGTCTGGCTAGTTGCATAGATTTTCTTGCCTGCTAAATAAAGGGGGTAATAGGCTCCATTATCAAAACTATATTTAAAGAAAAATTTAAACTATTTCTTTAAATAAATAACTTTTCTTTTCAGTTTAAACTATATCTGTGTAATGTTTATAAAATTAATACATGAAATTTATTTATCTGAATGTTATTCGATTGTTTTGATCATCTTTTTAAACAGTTGCCATTAAACCCCTGCAAATTAAAATATTTACTTTAATAAACTAATTAAATTAATTATTATTCAATAGAACCATATTTTTCTTAGAAATGCTATCCATTTAAAATCTCAAGTATAAATTTAATATTATAGTGAATTTCAGAGCTATTTATAAACAATCACTTAGACATTCATCCAACTGCCATTTTACTTTGCTAAAGTTTTTACCTTCATTTGTTCTACAAATATCAGCATTTAACTCATGTATAACATAAAAAGGTAGTTCAAAACTTAAAAAAAGTACTTACTTTATTTATATATACTTGTATTTATACGGAAAATATATAAGTTTTAATGTAGAAAAAATTTTTTAAAGTCAAAATAAAAAAACACTGAGTTTTATTAAAGTTTTTCATTAACTTTAAAGGAAGCTGGAAACTGTATGGAAAAACCACTTATCAATAAATTCTAATTAAAAATTAATGCTGTTGGTTAGAAACCCTGGAATAGTTATGGAAATTTCCTTTATTGATTAATTAGTCTCCATCATGTAGAACTTAATGCTATTCTCCCTTAATACAATAGCACCAGCCCTTTCATTATATGAACAGAGGAAATGGGGCTTAATACCCCATGTTACCCTATATAATAAATCTAATCAGCAAATTTTATTAAAACTTTATTTTTGAAGTAAGTAGTTTCAATATAAAATAAAATTGCTAGCAAGCAATAACGAAATGTTATGTTTACATAACATTTCGTTATTGCTTGCTAGCAATTATCATCATTTAACAATATTTTATAATATAAATATAATTTTATAATATAAATCACTTCCTTGAAGAAAAATCTACAAAAGATAATCCTGATCTAACTTTGTTTTTAAATATCTCTACTAACACCATGACAACATCATAAAAGAGAAAATTACCCTTTCCATGAAACTCAATTAATATTTCAAAAAAAGTTTTAGTTATGAAAGAAACTAGTTCAAATTCAATGGATGATTCAACATCATAATCAGGAGACATAATATTGCCTCTGTTAATTCAACAGAACTTGACCTTTTTCTTAATTTCAAACTTTTGTTGCTGCCATCCCAATATGTCATAAGAGAAGCTTTGTATTTGAGATAATTAAAGACACTTTTGAAAATTTTAGTATTCACCAAACCTGTAAAAATATTTCTCATCATTTTCACGTGTCAACTGGCAGAACATCATTGGGACAGAGACTAAGATTCACTAGATGATGCTATTTCTCTTTCATCCGCAACAACAAAATTCAACTCAGAATCACCACAGTCAACATTAGAACTGCAATAACCATCCATCAAATTTGAATTTAGTTTCTTTCATAACTAAAACCTTTTTAGAATTAATAATTGAGTTTAGTGGAAAAGGTATTTTCTCTTTTTTGGTGTTGTTATGGTGTTAGTAGAAATTTTTAAAAACAATGTTGGATCAGGATTATCTTTTGTAGATTTTTATTCAAGGAAGTGATTCGAACAAACAAAAAAGTTTTTAGGAACAACAAAATCTTTTATACCAGTGCTACCATGCATGCTTTAAATACTTACTAAATGCTTTTATTTAAAAAAAAAGCAATAAAAGTATATTATTAAATTTTCTTCAACATTACAATCTATTATAATTTCGTCAAGGTATCTTTTGTCTTTATTACATACACTAACTGAAGATCTGCAATGACTTGGCATTATACTACATATAATTTAATTAACTAGTTTTAAACTAATAACTAGTTTTTTATAATGAGATCAAACAGTTCAATGTAATAAAATATATGTACTAAAGTGAATTGTTGATTTAAAGTTTTCATATGGTATAGTTTGCACCATTTAAAATACTAAATACAAAACTTAAACCCATAAAAAAGGTATAATATCACCTTTCCTTTTGGTTTTAAATTGTGAAGATAGAATTGTATCAAGTACGTCCGAAACATTAGTTATAAACAATATAACAAAAACGCAACACAAAAACTTTTTTCTACTAACATACTATAAATAAAGTTAGCATAAAATGGTAATATATTTTAAATTCATATTTATAAAATTTTGATCGTAATGTATTGCGTGACAATACTAAAAAAAATGTTACACATAAGGGATATAAAACTTTAGGTAATAAAAATACCAATCGTTTGCAATATTTTAGAAGCCTGCATAGGAGGATGTGATATTTTAAGTAAGAATTCCAGTTTCTTTTTGTGACATATACAGAAATAACAAGTGGTGGATGTTATATTTTATTTACCAAATACTAATTGTTTAAAATACTTTATAAATTACTTAGGGGGATGTAATAATTTAGAAGCCTGCATAGGGGGGATGTGATATTTTAAGTAAGAATTCCAGTTTCTTTTTGTGATAAATACAGTGAATAAACCTAGGAGATGTTTAAATTCTAGATACCAAATACTAATCGATTAAAATACTTTATAAATTGCTTAGGGAGATGTAGTATTTTAGAAGTATGCATAGGGGGGATGTGATATTTTAAGTAAGAATTCCAGTTCTTTTTGTGATATATACAGTAAATAAACCGAGAGGATGTGATATTCAAGATACCAAACACTAATTGATTGAAGTATTATATGAATTGCTTAGGGGATGTAATATTTTAGAAGTATGCATATGACGGATGTGATATTTTATGTAAGAATTCCAGTTTCTTTTTGTGACATATACAGTAAATAAACCTAGAGAATGTGATATTCTAGATACCAAATACTAATCGTTTAAAATACTTTATAAATTGCTTAGAGGGATGTAATATTTTAGAAGTATACATAAGGGGGATATGATATTTGTAGTAAGATTTTCAGTTTCTTTTTGTGACATATACAGTGAATAAACCGATGGGATGTGATATTCTAAATACGAAATACTAATCGGTTAAAGTATTATATGACTTACTTAGGGGGATGTAATATTTTAGAAGTATGCATAGGGGAGATGTGATATTTTAAGTAAGAATTCCAGTTTCTTTTTGTGACATATACAGTAAATAAACCGAGAGGATGTGATATTCTAGATACCAAATACTAATCGTTTACAATACTTTGTAAATTGCTTAGGGGGATGTAATATTTAAGAAGCCTGCATAGGATGGATGTGATATTTTAAGTAAGAATTCCAGTTTCTTTTTGTGATAAATACAGTGAATAAACCTAGGAGATGTTTAAATTCTAGATACCAAATACTAATCGATTAAAATACTTTATAAATTGCTTAGGGAGATGTAATATTTTAGAAGTATGCATAGGGGGGATGTGATATTTTAAGTAAGAATTCCAGTTTCTTTTTTGTGATATATACAGTGAATAAACCGAGAGGATGTGATATTCTAGATACCAAATACTAATCATTTAAAATACTTTGTAAATTGCTTAGGGGGATTTCTAATAAAAATAATTAAAATATATTTTGTTACCCATTTATCTTTTTTTTGATTTTATCTAGTTTTTGGACCAATTTCACTACCACAAATTCGACACAAACTGTTCTGCCAACTTCTCTGACCAATTGATTTAATTTTGCATCATTTTTTTTTGTTTTTATTTTAAGATATCATTTAACATTGAAGTAATGTAAACATTTTCAGTGCTCTAAAGAATATCACAAACCTCCTTTATCTAATAGAAGATGTACCACTCTCTTTCTGTATGCATTCACTTCTTCAGGTGGAAAGACATGCACCAATTCTTCTTCATTTATATCATTTTTAGCAAACTAAAATATTCAAGCTCATATATATATATGTATATATATATATATATATATATATATATATATATATATATATATATATATATATATACATATATATATGTGTGTGTGTATGTGTGTGTGTGTGTATAATTATATATATGTATAAATATATATTTATATATATATATACATATATATATATATATATATATATATATATATATATATATATATATATATATATATATATATATATATATATATATATATATATATATATATATATGTGTGTGTGTGTGTATAATTGTATATATGTATATTAGGGTGTTCCAAAAAAATGACTTTTTTGAATTTCAACTAACATTGCTTTTCATAAGGTGCCCCAACCTTGATATTACTAATAATTTTTTTTTTTTTCATGATTCGATCACTCTATGACTTCCCTCAATGGGTCCAAAAATCATTTTTTGCCCGTTTTTTGCCCATATTTCGGACTAATTGAGGGGAGTGTTACCATTATCCAAATTAATTTTTCTTTTTTTTTTTTGTTATTTTATCTTTTTGAAGAAAATAAAAATATAATGTCAAGCTTAATTTGTTTTTTTATTTGAACAATGAAGATCAAAAAATTCAAAAACATTGATTTATTTTACTATATTTCACTACCTTTTACTACCTTTGTCCTATGTACCATTTTAATGTGTTTTCTGTTATATTTTAAATACGCGTATAATTGTTTCATTTTGTGAACAATTATATTTTACCTTGTGTATGCAATTTGATTTTTAACTTATTTTATATTTTTGGTTACCATTTATCTTTTTAGTAACTAATTAACTTAAAAAAAAGTTATTTTATAGTAAAATGCCACCAAAAAAGAAGTTGAAGCTTACTCGAAATAAGGCTGAAGTATTTCTAGTAAAGAAAGTTAGAGAAAATCTTTCATGTTATAAACTTCCTACTGGCATAGAGGTTTTGCAATACTACCTATATCTAAGAAACTTGAATCCCAAAATAAAGAAAACGATTTTAATTAGGTGTCATTTCGAAATTAATTCATTTGAGCTCAGATGCCCTCCACAAGCTGACTGTTGTGTAATGTCTAAATTGGTAAGGCCATGGAATCTTGCAGGGTTCCTTACCATAACCTTGGAAAATATCAGGTAAATTATGAATTCAAAATTTATCAACAAATTTATTTTTATCTTTATTTTAAACATTGAATAAATTTTGCATTTTAAAGAAAGAAGATTGATAAAATGGTGAACAACTATTACAAGTTAAAGAAGAATAGCAAAAGGAACAGCCCAACAGATACGAAAAGGAATGAGGCATTTTTTGAAGAAATGTTAAAATGCTTTTGGATTAGTAAAAAAAAGAAGAACTAAAAAGACAGGAGAAGGACATCCGAAGCCAAAAATGAAGATATTGTGTTTATCTTAGACCAAATTGAAAATAGGATAGGAAGAATAGGAACAAATGATAAAAGGTTTACGTACACTATTAAGAGATCCCACAAAAAATTGTGTTCCATGTTAAACATGGAGATTAAAGTAAACAATGGTAACAATCTATACAGCTTAGAAAACTCTTCAAGTAGTGATAATAATTCTGACTGTGAATATGTAGCAGATATAAAAAAAGAACAATCTACCTCTATTGTTTTGTTACCAAAAAATATTTAAAAAAAAACAGCTCTCACAGCAATAGGTGAAGGACTTTCAGTTAGACAACACACTGCAATAGTGGCAAGTGTTATTGCTAATTCAGGAGGTGATGTTACTAATTTTGCAATATCTTCTTCAACCGCATTTAGAGTTGCAGATGAAGTTGTAACTAAAGAGGGAGAAAAGATTAAAAAGCACGTTACTGATCTTGTTAAATCTTCATCATTACCAATTATTCTCCATTTTGATGGAAAAATAGTTAAGGAGTTCACAAGCGGAATAGAACATCAACTTGACAGACTTGCTGTTTCCATCAGGATAGATGGACAGAGTGAGCTTCTTGGGGTTCCTCATTTGAGTTCTAGTACTGGAGAAACACAGAAGAATACAATCATAAAACTTCTTCATCAATTTGATATTTTTGATAAATTACAAGGATGCGTTTTTGATACAACTTCTGTAAATACTGGTAATAAAAAGGGTGTGTGTGCATTAGATTAGCTGCAGAGCTTGATAGACCACTACTTCTCCTAGCATGTAGGCATCACATCTATGAAAGGCATATTATTCACTGCTGGAACATTTATCCAAGCAGTAAAATAAATGGTCCAGATAATCCATTGTTTAAGAAGCTTAAAGATGTATGGAACTCAATTGATCAAAATTCCATTGTGTTAAACAAAGTAAAAATTGAAGATATTTCTGATAGCTGGCTGCAGGTACAGTTCAAAGAAGCCTTATCTTTTTCTCAAAATATTATCAGAATGAAAACAATGAAAAAGGTATTTAAAATTTTGAATAAAGTGAATACTCTATAATAAAATAAGTTTAGTAAGGTACTGTTTTGTGTCTAAATAAATAATCTTATTTAGGATGGATGTAGGTCTGATTATCTAGAGTTAGTGGAGTTGACAACAATGGTTTTATCTGGTGATGAACAGTACAGGCTAAGAAAACCTGGGCCTGTACACCATGCCAGATTTATGGCAAAGGGAATATACTTTCTGAAAATGTATCTCCTTCTAAACAACATTTCTAGCTTGACAGATTTTGAGAAGAAAAAAATAAATGATATGGCATTCTTCACAGCTGTATTTTACACTGAGTGGTTTATAAAGGCTGAAATTCCGGCTGTCGCTCCATATCAGGTGACATTTCTATGTTTTAAAAGTTTTTAATCATTTTGCTTTTTATTACTTTTTTTTCTTTGAAAATTTTGTGTAATATTTCATAGTCTAAAAATCTTTAGGATATGAAAGCTCTTTGGCAGATGATGAGATACTCAAAAATCAATCCTGTCCAGGCAAAACCTGTTATAGAGTCTCTAAAGAGACACACCTGGTACATAGACCCAAATATTTTAGTTATGTCTCTTGTTGACAAAAATGTACAAGAACGGAGTGACATTGCCAAGAAGTTGTACTCAACCCCAAGACCTACAACTTATGCCATAGAAAGACATCAAGTTAATTTAAATATACTGAACTCCCTTATGTTTAATGATGATACTCCCCCAAGTTTGACCCCGCTTATAACTGACCAGAGTTGGTTAATTTTTCATATCTTAAACCATGCAAATGCTGAAGTACAGTGGCTTAAGACTCCATCTGAGACATGGGATCTAAATGACTATTACTTAGAATTCAAACAATTTGTGAATAATCTTGAAGTAGTAAATGACTGTAGTGAGAGGGCTATAAAACTAGTTCAGGTAACTATTTTATATGTTTGGTCCTTAATGTTTATGTTAAAATCTTAATTTATTTTACAAGCTCGTTACTTTTAAATATTCTTTAATAGAAGTTGATCAATAAATCGCATAATGAGGATAAAAGACAAAGTACCTTCCTCGTATCAAACAAATATAAGAGTGAAAGAACAATTTAAAAAAATGTGATTATGTAAAGAATTCTTTGTTTACAAAATAAATTTATAAACATGAACTATGTTTGACAACTAATTTCTTCAGAAACTAATCATAAATATGATTTTATTATGTAAATATAAATATTTTAATACGTAAAGTATCTTGTTAATAAGCAGAACACTAATATAGTGCAAAAAAGCTTAAAAATGCCTTTTTTTTAATTTTTTGGTCTTCATTGTTTAAGTAAAAAAAAAAAAATTAAGCTTAACATTATATTTTTATTTCCTTCAAAAATATAAAACAACAAAAAAAAAAAAAGAAAAATTAATTTGGATAATGGTAACACTCCCCTCAGCTAGTCCGAAATATGGGCAAAAAACGGGCAAAAAATGACCTTTGGGCTCATTGAGGGAAGTCATGGAGTGATCTAATCATGAAAAAAAAAAAATTTATTAGTAATATCAAGGTTATGAAACCTTATGAAAAGCAATGTTAGTTGTGTACACCTTATGTACACCTTATGAATGTACACTTATATGTATTATTGTACACTTGTATATATAATTAATGTACACTTATATAATTAATGTGCACTTGTATATATAATTAAATTAAATGTATATATAATTAATGTACACTTGTATATATAATTAATGTACACTTATATAATTAATGTACACTTGTATATATAATTAATGTACACTAATGTACACTTATATATATAATTAATGTACACCTTATGAAAAGCAATGTTAGTTGAAATTCAAAAAAGTCATTTTTTTGGAACACCCTAATGTATATATATATGTATAAATATATATGTATATATATATATATATATATATATATATATATATATATATATATATATATATATATATATATATATATATATATATATATATATATATATATATATATGTATATATATATATATATATATATATATATATATATATATATATATATATATATATATATATATATATATATGTATATATATATATATACATATATATAATATAGACCTCGGGGAGAATAAATTAGTACGAAAGCGGAGAAAAGCTCTCCTAAAACAAACTTGGGGAGCTGTGCGAGCTGCTTCACATTTTTTTTTAATTATAAATATTTTTTGCAACAATTGTGCCTTTTCAAAAGCTTTTCAGTATATTATGCAATTAATTCTTTTTAAACAACATTGTGTTTTTTATTTTATTTAAAATCATAGTTATACTTTTTTGAGAAAAATAATACTTTGGCGAGAGCCGTAAATAGCTCTCGTAAACCGTTTCAGAAGAGTATGGGCGAGAGCGAGAGCTAAAGCTCCCGCCAATGCCTATATATATATATATATATATATATATATATATATATATATATATATATATATATATATATATATATATATATATATATATATATATATATATATATATATATATATATATATATATATATATATATATATATATATATATATATATATATATATATATATATATATATATATATATATATATATATATATATATATATATATATATATATATATATATATATATATATATATATATATATATATATATATATATATATATATTCACTACAGTTAAGAGTCTTAAAGTTACCTTAAGGCAGAATAGTTAACTTAAAGTTACCTTAAGGCATGTGGTAACGTTAAGATTTTAAACTTTTCTGAAACAACATATCTTTGTTGTAAGTAGCAACTATAGCATATTAGTAAAAAAATTATAAAAGATGTAAATACAAATTTTGACATAAGAATATCTAATAATAATATCATACTTCCATTTCACTTCTTCTTTTTTAATGGAATTTATCTGTTCTCCCATTAGGGTCCATACAGTGAATTTTTCTATCACCTGGTTTGATTATCTAAAACACAAATGAGTTTCAAATTCGGGTTCAAGGTTAGGTTCCCCGTAAAAAATTGTAACCCTACCTTTCACTGAAAATTAAACTTTTTGTACTTGAAGAAGTTAACTTTTTCAAAAAACAATTTTACTAATATAATGACTATTGCATTTATTAAAGATTACATATTTTAAAATTCTAAGCTTATTTTTTTACCAGGTGGGATAATGTTTCAATTAATTATTTAAATAGGTTTACATAAAAATCTTTATTTTACTGGTGCGCCAATGAATAATACATACCTTCTGCATCTTCAACATCGCCAATGAATAATACAAACCTTCTGCGTCTTCTTTATTAATAGAATGAAAACTTTATCGAAGTAACAGGTATTTCAGTAACTTCTACAGAGTAATATTATTTTAAAAAAACATTTCATATCTCAGCGTTTTTTATTGACGTTTAAAGACCTGTATTATGCGTATTAAAATTTTGACGCCTTTGAATAGCTATGGGTTTCTGAGACAAGTGTCTGACAAAAATGTCTTTTAAACTGAAATAAGTGAACATAAACTCTCAACCTCAACTAATATATTTAAATATATATAATGTCACTTCACTTTGTTTTAGCTCATTCTTTTTCTAGCGCTCATCTTTATTTAAACCTTTTAATTTTCTAAACTGATTAAAACGAGCTGCTTGATTCACAAAACGGTTATGGCAAATATTATAAGTAACGACAATTTCTGTGCAGATTTTTTTGTTATGTTTATTATGGCTACGCGTTGATACCGAACTCGTTTAATAAAAATTAAAGCAATCTTTATTATCAAAATTGATATAGTCAACTTCATTACCTAATTCAATCATTTAAATTAAGCTACCACGCTCTCGTCTTTTTTTCAAACTTTTTGAATTCAACGCTATAAATCTGTCATTATAAGGATGATTTTTATTTGTAAGTGAAATCTTCCTCGAACAATCACGCACTTTAACATTTGTGTCATTAATAAAATAGGAAGGCCTAACAAAAGCAGAATTTTCTTAGTGTGGAAGAATAAATAGAGTATAATTGCTGAATAGTATTTTTTTTCAAAATTTTTATTTTTACAAACATGTGATATATATACAAACATATATATATATATATATATATATATATATATATATATATATATATATATATATATATATATATATATATATATATATATATATATATATATATATATATATATATATATATATATATATATATATATATATATATATATATATATATATATATATTTGTATGGTACTGTAGGCATAGAACAACATTAATCGACATCTTTTAATATTAGAAAATTTTTTTCATTATAAATTACTTAACCCTAATGACAATCTTAACTTAATCACAATCCAAAAATTGTTTATGTATTTTGTCTGTTTCATATTTTACGGTACATTATTCTTTATCATTTTAATTTAATATGATATTGGATGATTCTTAATCCGAAATACATGATTTTATATTTATCGTAATAAATATAAATAAATTTTTTAACTGCCACTTTTAAAAGTTTGTATTATTTTACTAATTGTGAACTGGACTAAATATTATTAACTCACCGAGCCAGCTAACATGGAGTAGCTACGTAAAGAAACAGTAATCGAATTATATTTCCATACCAAACCATCCAAAGAAACGTTAATATTTAAAAATAATTATTTAAAATTGTTGCTTTATTAAAAAAAGAAGAAACTTTTATTATTCAAAAATAAATTTTAACTTCTTCATATTTAAAACCAGGAAGGTTTTAAATCTGAAGAAGTTAAAACCTTTCTGAGACACCATGCCTCAGCCCCCATAGATGGACGTAACGGAGAAAAATTTTAAATTAAGCATTAGAATAAAAAAAGACAAACCGTAATTATTTATTTTCCTTCTAAACATTTTTTACATTAAGACTAGTAAAATTTTTATGTTGTAAGATATAAAAACATTTAGAATAAACTTATTGTAATTAATTTCATTACGTTCATTTTAAATCTTATGAAAATTTAATTCTATCAAAATTTTATAAATGACTTCGTTGAACAATGTCGCATGTTTTAATTGTTAGCTTAATCGTATCTGAAGAAAATAAAATATTAAATTAAAACTTTAAAAAACTAAATAAAACTATTAAATTAAAGATTCTTCATTTTATTAAAAGTTCTTTAACTAAATATATAAATTTAATATAAAGATCTCCTCATCAGACTAGAACCCAAGAAACAAAAAATAGCTAACACTACTTGAGATAAATATCTTACTTAAATTACACATCGACCCTATGCAGGCTTTTAAAAAATCACATCCCCTTAAGTAACTCATAAATAATTCAAATAAGTTTTATTTGGTAACTAGAATATAACATCCATCACTTGTAATTTCTGTATAAATCACATAAAGAAACAGAAATTCTTTCCTAAAATATCACATCCCCCTTATGAAGACTTCTAAAATATTAAATCCTCTTAAGTAATTCATACAATATATCAAATGATTAGTAATTTGCATTTAAAATATTAGATTCATCACTTGTAAATTCTGTGTGTATCACAAAAAGAAACTAAATAGTTAAAATATCACATCCCCCCTATGTATATATCTAAAATATTACATCCCCTAAGTATTTCTTTACAATAATTCAAACAATTAGAATTTGGAACTTAAAATATCACATCCCCCTATGTATACTTCTAAAATATAACATCCCCCTAAAAATTTCTTTACAATATTTCAAACAGTTATACAACTTGGTACTTAAAATATCACATCCCCCCTGTGGAGTCTCTGCACATGTCACAAAAAGAAACTGAATATCTTACTTAAAATATCACATCACCTCTATGTTTACCTTTAAAATATTAAATCCCCCTAAGTAATTCATACCGTATTTCAAACAATTAGTTTAAAATATTGCATGAAACTGAAATTCTGACTTAAAAGATCACATCCACCCTAGGTTTACTCCTAAAATATTACATCCCCTAAACAATTCATACAATATTTTAGGCAATTAATATTAAGTACTTAAAATATTACATCCCCTCTAAGTTTACCTTTAAAAAATTACATCCCCCTAAGTAATTCATACAATATTTCAACCGATCAGTGTTTGGTATCTAGAATATCACATCCCCTCGGTTTATTTACTGTATATGTCACAAAAAGAAACTGAAATTCTTACTTAAATATCACATCCCCCTGTGCATACTTCTAAAATATTAAATCCCCCTAAGTAATTCATATAATACTTTAACCGTTTAGTATTCGGTATCTAGAATATCACATCCCCTCGGATTATTCACTGTATATGTCACAAAAAAAAACTGAAATTCTTACTTAAAATATCACATCCCCCCTATGTATACTTCTAAAATATTACATCCCCTAAGTAATTCATATAATACTTCAATCGATTAGTATTTGGTATCTAGAATATCACATCCCCTCGGTTTATTCACTGTATATATCACAAAAAGAAACTGGAATTTTTACTTAAAATATCACACCCCCCAATGCAGGCTTCTAAAATATTGCAAACGATTGGTATTTTTATTACCTAAAGTTTTATATCCCTTATGTGTAACATTTTTTTTAGTATTGCCACGCAAAACATTACGATCAAAATTTTATAAATATAAATTTAAAATATATTACCGTTTTATGCTAACTTCATTTATAGTATGTTAGTAGAAAAAAGTTTTTGTGAATCTCGTTGCGTTTTTGTTATATTGTTTATAACTAATGTTTCGGACGTACTTGATACTCTTCTAAGTGCAATGATTCGAAAGCGCATTCTCGTTTTAATTTTTTCTATGGGGGATGTGATATTTTAGGGGGATGTAATATTTTATTACACATTTCGCATAAAAACGGAAAGTTCAAATTACCAACCAAAAAAATGTTGTTGTTTTTTGCATAAATTATGCGAGATCTTTTTTTTTTTTTTAAGCAACACAACAATATATATAAAAAAAAAAATTTAACCGTTATGATCACATCAGAAAAAAATTTTTTTTAATACGCTCAAAGCCAAATAATTTAGGAACATTTTGAGGCATTTTTCGGAGTATTTAACCGCTTGAGCACATGGGAAATGGCAATAATTTAGGAATTTTTTTTTGGAATCGTATCTTTTTTTACATTTGCCCCAAATTTGGCTTCTTGTATATTCGCGTTTTGAAATTTAATTTTTTTGAACTATTTTTTGAAAATTTTTATTTTTTTGACCCCTTTTTTACACCCTCCTCTCCACAAATAAATATTAACGTTTTTTTTAGTAAGTTGATAATATCTTATTATTCTGTTAGTAAGTGGATAATATCTAATTTATTAAACTAAATTTTTATTTTACTTTTGAAATTGTTATCTTAGATATTCCACTAACATAATTATATTAAATGAAATAGAAGAAAACACTTTTATGGCTCTGTTAGAATCTAATTCGTGGGGCAAATTAATAAACTACAAGAATATATAAAATCATATTCAAATTCAAAAATAAAATTTTATTAAGGTGGTTGTATGGTAAAAACTTAGCGATTTTCGTTAAAAAAATCAATTTTCAGTTTATTAGCCAACTTTGTATAAAATTTAACTGGCTTTTTAACCATATATAACATAATATGGTTTTAAAAACAAAAATTGTTAAAAAATTGATTTTATCCTCGCAGTCGGAAAGTCACGTGGTTATACAAAATGAAAATAGCGCAAGTTGTTACCATCTTGGATGGGGGAAAACAATTGATTAGTCGAGTTAATAAAGCAGGAGAATTTGTACGAAAAAGTGATTTAAAGAGTATAAAAAAAGAAAAGTCGGTTTACGAATACTTTGAAAAATTAGATTTTAACGCCGCAGAAAGGTATATAAATAATTTTGCAATCCTTGGAATCAACCGATGTCTATACAAGCTTTTGGCAAATACTTGGAAAGATGATCAAACTGAATGGCCATGAGTTCAATACCATGACGTCTATAATTATTTAATAAAAAGTCCTATAATATTTTCTTTTGAGGCTATAGATAATTATAAAGCATTAGATGCTTATAAATATTTTGGCTTTGGCTAGATGCTGGAAGTTTTTCACACGAGGTTAAGCTCTAGTTTTGTTGTTTTGAAAACACAAGTTGTCTAACTTCTGCGTTTAAAACAACAAAACCATCTTAGTCACCAGAGTTGACTCAAAATAACAAAATCATCTTATAAATATATATATATATATATATATATATATATATATATATATATATATATATATATATATATATATATATATATATATATATATATATATATATATATGTTTATATCAAAAATCTTCTAAAGACACAACAACTCTTAAGCATTTTAAAGAATTTTATGATATGCCATTGTTTTTGTTTTAGAACGAAAGTTTATTTTCCCCCAACTAAAATGGTAGCTGTTCGCGGCAAAGATTATGACCTATTTCCGACTGCGAGGATTGATTATGAGTTAAGAAATTTACTTAGTTACGTCCATAGCAACCAAATTTGTTATTGATATATTTATCTAAAACCTAAATTTTAAATAGTTGTTTCAATTTTTAGGTCTGTATAATTACTAAACTACTTAAAAAAATAAAGTTGTATATCTAATAATGTTGTTAGTTAAAAGGAGAGAAGGAAGTCAAGGGTGAATTTATTTTTTAAATAGT